CTCAGGAGGCTGAGGCAGGAGAATTGCCTGAACCCAGGAGGCGGAGGTTGCGGTGAGCCGAGATCGTGCCATTGCACTCCAGCCTGGGTAACAAGAGCAAAACTCCGTCTCAAAAAAAAAAAAAAAAAATACAAAAATTAGCTGGGCATGGTGGCATGCACCTGTAGTCCCAGCTACTCGGGAGGCTGAGGCAAGAGAATCACTTGATCATGAGAAGTGGAGGTTGCAGTGAGCTGAGATCACACAATTGCACTCCAGCCTGGACAACAGGGCAAGACTCTGTCTGTCTCAAAAAAAAAGTTGGCTAGGTGTGGTGGCTCACGCCTGTAATCTCAACACTTTGGAAGCCTGAGGTGGACAGATCACCTGAGGTCAGGAGTTTGAGACCAGCCTGACCAACATGGAGAAGCCCCAGTCTCTACTAAAAAAATATATACAAAATTAGCTGGGCGTAGTGGTGCATGCCTGTAATCCCAGCTACTTGGGAGGCTGAGGCAAGAGAATCCCTTGAACCCGGAAGGCGGAAGTTGCAGTGAGCTGAGATCACGTCACTGCACTCCGGTCTGGGCAACAAAGAGCAAAACTCTGTCTCAAAAAAAAAAAAAAAAAAAAGTTAAAATAGTGCATCTATACTTACACAATGAAAGATCCAAAGCTAAAAAAAAAAAAAAAAAGCATCTAAATTTGTATTGCTTTTATGAGTATAACCACAGAATAGCATAGTACAGGTTGTAGTAAGCTACCATTTATGTAAGAAAAAGAGGGGCCATATAAGTGCCTGCATAGATGTATAAGAAACAAACAGCTGGGTATAGCGGTTCATGCCTGAAATCCTAACACTTTGGCCTGGCCAACGTGGGTGAATCACTTGAGACCAGAAGTTGAAGACCAACCTGTGTAACATGGCAAAACCACATCTCTACAAAACAAAAATGCAAAAAAAATTTAGCAGGTATGGTGGCATGCATCAGTAGTCCAGGTACTTGGGGTGTTGAGGCAGGAGGATCACTTGAACTTGGGAGGGTCAAGTCTGGCAAAGAAAGAAAGAAAGAAAAACTAATAATGGTTGTTTCTAAAGGAAGAATGACTGAGACTAGGGGTTAGGAGAGTGGGAATTTTATTTTTCTCTTAGATCCTTTCACATCATTAATTTTTTTTACTGTGTGCAAGTATTGCCTGTGAACAATCCTGAAATTTGTTTGGAACCACAAAAGACTCAGAAAAACAAAGCAAGCCTGGACAAAAAGAACAAAGCTTGAGGTATCACACTACCTGATTTCGAAACATACTAGAAAGGTGTAGTAACCAAAAAAAGCATGATATTGGTATAAAAATGCAGACACACAGACTAATGCACTAGAACAAAGAACCCAGAAATAAATCCACATATTTAGAGCCAATGGATTTTCGACAAAGTCATCAAGAACATACATTGGGAAAAGGATATCCTCTTCAATAAACGGTGCTGGGAAAACTGGATTTGTGGGAGAATGGTACTAGGCCCCCATCTCTCATGAGATAGAAAAATCAACTCAACATGGATCAAGGACTTCAATATAAGATTCAAAACTATAAAATGACTAGAACAAAACATAGGGGAAATGCTTCAGGACATTGGGGCAAGGATTTTATGGCTAAGACTTCAAACAACAACAACAACAAAATAGACAAATGGGACCATATTAAACTAAAAGCCTCTCCACAGTGAAGGAGACAATCAACAGAGTGAGGAGACATTCTGAAATGGGAGAATATATTGGCAAACCATTCATCTGACAAGGGACTAAGTATTATCCAGAATATGCAAGAACTCAAACTCAACAGCAGAAAAACAAATAATCCCATTAAGAAGTGGGCAAAGGAGGCTCTGAACAGAGATTTCTCAAAAGAAAACATATAAATGGTTATCAGGTATATGAAAAAAAATGCTCAACATCACTAATTATCAGGGAAATGCAAATCAAAACCACAATGACGTATCACCTCACCCCAGTTAGAGTGGCTATCATCAAAAAGGCAAAAAATAACAAATGCTGGCAAGGATGTGGAGAAAAGGGCACTCTTATACACTGTTGGTGGGAATGTAAATTAGCCATTATGGAAAACAGTATGAAGTTTTCCTAAAAAAAACTATAAACTGCTGGGTGCGTTGGCAATGCCTGTAGTCCCAACCGCTTGGGAGGCTGAAGTGGGAAGACTGCTTGAGCCTAGTTCAAGTCCAGCCTGGACAACACAGCCAGACCTTATCTGTTATTGTTTTTTAAGAGGTAAGGGGCCTGGCAAAGGTGGCTCATGCCTGTGGTCCCAGCACTTTGGGAGGCCGAAGTGGGCGGATCATGAGGTTGGGAGTTTGAGACCAGCCTGACCAACGTGGTGAAACCCCGTCCCTACTAAAAATACAAAGATTAGCTGGGCATGGTGGCGCATGCCTGTAGTCCCAGCTACTTGGGAGGCTGAGGCAGGAGAATTGCTTGAACCCAGGAGGTGGAGGTTGCAGTGAGCCAAGATTGTGCCACTGCACTCTAGTCTGGCGACAGAGCAAGACTCTTTCTCAAAAAAACAAAAACAAAAACAAAACTACAATACAATCCAGCAATACCACTACTGGGTATTTATTCAAAGGAAAGGAAACTAGTACATCAAAGGGATCCCTACATCCTCATGTTCATATTGCAGCATTATTTACAATAGCCAAGATATGGAATTCACGAAGTGTCCATCAATAGATAAATGGATAAAGAAAATGTGGTATTAACACACAATGACATACTATTCAACCACAAAAAAGAATGAAATCCTGTCATCTGCAGCAACACGGACAGAAGTAGAGGTCATTATATTAGCTGCAATAAGTAGGCACAGAAAGAAAAATATCACATCTCTCACCCATATGTAGAAGCTAAAAATGTTGCTCCTGTAAGTAGAGAGTAGAATGATGGTTGCCAGAGTGTGAGAAGTGGGAGGGGACAAAGACAGATTGGTTAATGGGCACACATGTCCAGTTAGATAGAAGCAACATGTTCTAGTGTTTGACAGCACAATGGGGTGACTATAGTTAACACTCATTTATTGTATATTTCAAAATTGTTTGTTAGGCTCGTGGGCCCTGCCTATAATTCCAGCTACTTGGAAGGCTGAGGCAGGAGGATTGCATGAGCCCAGGATTACTCGGCCTGAGCAAGAATAAGATCCTGTCTCAAAAACAAAAAAAAGGAAAATGAAAGACTAGAAGATTAGAAGATTTGAAATGTTCTTAACATACACATACAAAAATCAGTGTTTCAGGGGCGCGGTGGTTCATGCCTGTAATCCCAGCACTTTGGGAGGCCCAGGCCGACGGATCAAAAGGTCAGGAGACCTACCAGACTATCCTGGCTAACACAGTGAAACCCTGTCTCTAATAAAAATACAAAAAAGTAGCCGGGCGTGGTGGCATGCGCCTGTAGTTCCAGCTACTCAGGAGAATAGCTTAATCCCGGGGGGCGGAGTTTACAGTGAGCCAAGACCCACTGCACTCCAGTCTGAGCAGGCAGAGCCAGAGTGAGTCTCAAAAAAAAAAAAAAAAAAAAAAAGCCAGGCGGTGGCTCACCCCTATAATCCCAGCACTTTGGGAGGCTGGCGGATCATGAGGTCTGAAATTCGAGACCAGCCTGGCCAACATGGTGAAACCTCGCCTCTACTAAAAATACAAAAATTAGCCGGGTATGGTGGCAGGCGTCTGTAATTCCAGCTACTAGGGAGGCTTAGGCAGGAGAACTGCCTGAACCCTGGGAGGCGGAGGTTGCAGTGAGCTGAGACCGCGCCACTGCACTCCAGCCTGGGTGACACAGCAAGACTCCAACTCCGAAAAAGAAAAAGAAAAAGAAATAATGAACGTTTGAGGTGACGAATATTCTATAATAAATATAGCCTGACTTGATCATTACACATTGTATGCCTGTATCAAAATATCACATGTATAAACATCTACAACATAAATGTGTACAACTATTATATATGAATTTTTTTCACAGCTTAAGAAGTGATGTGAAAAATGAAGTTTTATATATATCTGAAGAATTATTACATGTTTGTAATGATGTGAAGATATTCTTTGTGGTGTAATAATGAAAAACAGAACCCACAATTGTACATTCAACAAGGGCTAAATTGTATAAAGCAAAAACAAAGGCTAGAAGTCATATGACTGTTTGTCTCCAGGTAATGACACAGTTTCTTTCTTCAATTTTTCTTAAAAAAAATCTAAATTTATAAATCCGATTTTTGAAAATGTAATACATTCACATGGCTTAAAATTTAAAACTTTTTTCAAATTTTGCACAAGCTGTGATGATTAACAACTACAAAACCTGTAAAGGCTGCAGCCAGCAAGGTAGAAAGAAGGCTTTGGGATCTTCAAGGGCGGACGCCGCCTGTTCCTGATTCAGGCACTCAGTCCCAGCAGCAGGCAAGAACCACGGAGAAAGAGTGGCGGCAATCAAGCTTCTCCACCTCCACCATTTCCTGGGGCAAAGCACTAGGCTACTCGGGGCTCTGGATAACAGATTTGCATAAAAAATGGGGCTAATGGTCGTTATCCACTTTACAGAGCTGGGAGAAGGAAGCGGAGGAAAGACGAGATAACTAAAGCGCCTGGCAGAGCCTGCCATAAACTGAGCTCGCAGGAAACGTTAGCAAGGTTGCCATCGCGCAACAAGGCCCAGGACGCCAGGTTGCAGGGTCGCTGTCCAACCCTCGCCCCCACCGTCTCTTCCCGGCCCAGTCCAAGCTCCTGCTTCCGGTCAAGGGGTAGCAGGAACCGGCGGCCCCGCCTCGGCCCGCTCTAGAGGCCCGCGCCGCCTGGGTTCCGCCCTCAAGTCGGCTCGGGCCGGGTCCCGGCCACGCCCAGCCCCAACCGATTCTCTGCCCAGAGTTCTGAGACCCCCTCATCCCCAGAGATCTGAAGGCCGGGTGTGGGGTGGTGGGCGGCCGCCAGCCACTAGCCCCCGGCCCACGCTCACCATTTCCGACCGATCCGGTAGCCCCGCGTAGCCAACACTCAGCCCAGTCCCGTGCCTTTCTGCGCCGGCGCACAGCTTTCTGTCAAAACGGACAACGCTAACTGCCTATCAGGAGCCAGGGTGAGGTGGGGGCGGGCGAGCAGACTTCAGCTGCACCAGGACTCTGTAAATTTGCTCGACTGTGGGAAAGCGAAAAGCGAAGGAGACGAGTGCTAAGCGGTGGAAAATTCCCAACTCCAGCCGTGTAGAAAAGATGCTGGTTCTGGCCAGAAGCGGTGGTTCACGCCTGTAAAACCAGCACTTTTGCAGCCCGAGTCAGAAGGATCGCTTGAGCCCAAGAGTTCGAGAACAGCCTCGGCAACATGGCGACACCCCGTCTCTACTAAAAAAAAAAAAAAAAAAAAAAACAACAACAAAAGTAGCCGGGCATGGTAGCGCGCGCCAGTGGTCCCAGCTACTCTGGAGGCTGAGGTGGGAGGATCGTTCGAGGCTCAGTGAGCCAAGATTGCTCCACTGCAATCTTGGCTGGGCAACAGAGCAAGAGACCCTGACTCACAAAAAAAGAACATGCTGGTTCTCGGTATTGGAAGATGCTTTCAGCTCTCAATGGAGTTCTAAGCTGGCTCTGAAGTCCCGGGGTGGAGCGTGGTGGCAGAGTATGAAGGCCGAGTGGAGCGGTTGCTGAGACCCCTTTGAGACCAGACTGAGAGAGAGGCCCAGGGCCCAAATGCGCTTCGGGATCGGGCAGGCCAGGGATGGGGCTGGAGTCTCCGGGGGAAGAGGCTGTGCAAACTCGGAGATTAATTGGTTAGGGCTGGCCTGGGAGTCTGCAGAATCCGAGCTCAGCCTCGCCCGCGTTACCTAGGAGAAACCACTTAACATCTTTGTGTTCTATCCCGTTCTCCCCTCTAAAAGGGAGACCCTTCTTCCCAGAGCCCAGTGTTGTCCGGGTTTTCGTTCTTTAGCATTCTATTCTCGCAGGCCGCAAACGTTTCTGGGTCCTCTAAGTAGGAAATAACTTCGGTTAAAACATGCTGCCGTTGAGTGAACCCTGTGGCACATTGCTGTGCTGAACACTCACATGCCTTATCACCAGTAAGCTTCACCGAATACTTTGTAAGTGCTTTTTCTCCCAGGCACTGTAGCATGTTGGATTCAACGATAATCTAACTCCAAAGTTTCATTCCACGGTAGCTGCTCTTCAGTAAGGATTTGGTTCTCCTTCGAAATGTGTCAGCATGTTAAGAGGATTGACTTTTTGTACTAAAATATAAAATTAGCCGGGCATGGAGGTAGGCGCCTGTAATCCCAGCTACTCGGGAGGGTGAAGCAGAATTGCTTGAAATCGGGAGGGGGAAGTTGCAGTGAACCAAGATCGTGCCACTGCACTCCAGCTTGGGCGACAGAGCGAGACTGTTTAAAAAAAAAAAAAAATTGGGGGAATAGATTTGATAGGATTTGGAGGCTAATTAAATAGAATGGCAAAATTGGTCACTCCCAGTGTTGTGGTATGTAAGTAGCAGTACAGCAAAATGGTTAAGTATACATGCTTTGGAGTCAACCGTCCTAGATTCCAATCTGTACTCTTTCTACTTAATAGTTGTGAACATGATTCAATCATTTGGAGCCTCTATTGTCTTGTAAAACAGAAATCGTTTCCAGTAACAGGAAGACTAAGTGACACTGCACATAGCATATCTACCCGTGTCCTGCACATAGTGATAAATGTTGACAGTTGTTTTGGTATTAAGTGAATGTTGGTGTGGTATTGGTTGCTATGATATGGAAGATAAATAGGTCTGAATTAGAAAAATAACAGGAGGGCTGTTTTTAGTGATCTTGCAAGTATGACTACAAATTCTCAAGGTTCTTCCCTGTGGGGTGCTTTCAGGAAATCCTTTTGTCCATAGCCACTCTTCACTTACAGGACCCTGTTTATAAGGGATCAACAGTGTCCTTCTGGGGTTTGTTTAAGGCCCTCTTTTCCTTGCCAACCAGAAAGGTTCTCCTGGCTCCTCACTCCAGATATCCTGATCACAAAGGAGTCCTACAAACATGGAAGATTGGACAACTGAAATAGGCTGGGAGAGACAGCAACTCCTAGAGTTATACAATGTGAGACACTTGAGAAGTCCAGAGAACAGCCAGTCAGCCACAGCTGAGTCCGTTTGATGCTTTAGTAGGGTTTTGGATGAGAGCCAATGGTTAATAAGAACAATTACTTATTCCCCATAGGTTTCCACATGCTGAGGGGGACATATCTTTTCCCTTATTCTAAGCACATTGAAACTACAGCATTCTAGCACCTTCCATTGGACAGACTAAACAGCTACTCAGGACCTGGGAGAGGCCTGCAGTTTCTTTCTCCTAGTCCCATGTTAGATCAGCTGTATTAAATTCCTCTTGCCTTAGTCTCTCTCCACTGGTTTTGTTTTAAATGAGAGCATAATCACCTGAGTTTCCTAATAAGAAAAGGGTCTACTGAAGATGGTAAGCAGGCCAGCTGGTTGATAAGAGTCTTGGTAACAGTCTTGATAGCTAGCTAGTTAGTGGTTCTCTACTTAGCACTCCTGCCTGTGGTCCCGTCTTTTAGTTGTCTTAGAAAACCAGTTCACATGGAGGCCTTCATGTTGGTCGATGGCCCCTGGAGATATCTTCATCTTCAACATGGGCACCAAATCCAGTCTCATCTGTGCAGCAATTTCTAGTATTTTTACTCATATTGTGGTAGGCCAGGTCTTAATAACACAGGCCTCCATAACAACTGTTTCAGCACTGACTGAGTGGTTAAGTTAAATATTAAAAGCTAAAAAAAGTCAGGGCCCTTAAACAAAAGCCCACCGAGGGTTTTGCCCAGGCCTTTCCTGGGCCTTGAAGCATGACAAGGTAACAAAGGAGTTCTTAACAGGATCCATTTAGGATTAAACAAGTTTTATTGGGGGTCTGAAGGAACTTATTGAGGGTCTGAAGGCTCCACAAACAAGTTTACTGGGGGGTCTGAAGGGTAATCACTCACCCCAGCACCTGGATCCATTTAGATTAAGTAAATTTACTGAGGCTCCAGAAGAAGGTCTGTGGGACTCAGATCTTAGTTGTAGATTTTAAAAAGCTAATCACTTATGTCTTTAGATGAATGCACACTTACACACAGACATATAGCTTAGAAGGTAAATAAGCTCTGGAAAACTTTGTAGTTTTGAGTTGGTCTGGGGATAATTTCCAGGCCTTCTCCCTGTACCCATTACAGAAATAAACTCCCTCCTTTCCCAGTTCATCTGCACCTCATTACTGGGCTGCAAGAATAAGGAGCCTGACCCTTGGTTTGGTCTGGGAACAATACCACAATACAGACAGACTGTAACTTGCCACGTAAAAAAGCAGAGAGGCAGAAGTCTATGTGACCTAGTCATAAGTCTTCTCTGAAGGCAGGGCTGGGGAAAGAGGAAAGAGACCCCCATCTTACCCAAGACTAACAGAAAAGCATGCAAATCAAGGACCAAAAAAGTTTAATTATAAAGTCTTACATCTTTTAGGAAAACGTGAGGCAACCACTGAAGGAACTTTATGAAAGCATTTGACTTCCTGTAATATTGGTAGCATTACCTGAGTATTAGAAGTAACAGATCAAGAAAACAAAGGTACACTTAATACAGTAATATACAAATATACAAACAATTTTGTAAATAATTGAAAACAAAAAAAAGGAGGAGGGGCTGGAGATACCAACAATACTAAATAGAAGTGCTTAACTCTAAAGGAGTTGAGAAAGATGAAGTTAACATCCAAAACAAGAGGAAAAGCTTAATTCCATGAGTCAACCCTGATAACATTTCAGATTATTAACCAGATAAGTAAAAAGTAGTAGAGCGGGCTTGATTGAAATAGTCCATTTAGGATAAGAACTTTGTGTATAGTTGAACACATTTCACTAAAATTTCTAATCATTGGTATGTCAATCTCTTGATGAAAAATCAGTACCTGAATATGTCTTTTTATTTCTTTAAGAGACAGGGTCTCGCTATGTTGCCCAGGTTGGATTTGAACTTCTGGACTCAAGCGATCCTCCCACCTCAGCCTCCTAAGGACAATACCTGAATTTTAAATAGAGTTATTGTAAGTTTTATGAAATGAGGTTCTTCTGTACTCTGACATAATAAAAGACAAAGCAGGAATTCATTACTATGAGCTGCTTGATCAGTTTTAAACCACTCCATTTGATCAAACAAGTGAGGTCCTTCCCTCCTGACCAGGCTGTGGAATGCTGTCTTCCCCAAACCCCACCCCCTGCAAAAGAGCAGAAGAATAAGGCAATTGCTCATTTTACTTTGTTTTTATTTCAATGTAACATGCAGTAAAAAAAAAAAATAATAATAATTAACAGGATTTATTAGCATTTACAATGCTTACAAAGAAAAAGAATTCTAAAAGCAATTTAGTTCAGATTTAAGAAAAAGGTCTACGTAAATACTTACAATAAATCTATTTCCATATGTTCAATTTGGACCAAAATTTAAGATAGCATTTGGTAGATATTTATGTCTGCTGTCTATTTGCAGTATTTTTATATAACCTCTGATTCTTGGGATATCCAGCCCCCATTTTCCTAACACAGCAGGGAAGACATATACATGTGGCCACTTAAATTAAAGGGAAAAATGGAGTAGGGAGATCCCAGGCTGCAAAAATATATACAAGCATTTACCTTTTCCAGAACTAAACACTTCTTCCATAAAAATATTAAATAGCCAAGCCCTATAGAACTAGGGCCAGGGCTACTTCAAATATAACTATTCTGTATTTTAAAAATATAGGGCAGAAAGCCTTTTGGGTGATATTTATATATTTTCACACAATATTTCTAGGTCCCTAAATGAATCATGAAGCATTATATAGAACAAAAAAAAAATCTATTTTCTCACATTATCTCTTAATTTAATCTCATAAACCTCTAGTAAATATTGTAGATAACTACATTTCAGTATGAGAATTCACCTCAACAGGAAGTCTTTATAGAGGGCTTAATCTTCATTAGTCATATATTACCAAGTTCAGACTTATATAATGAACGGGTAGTTGGCAGACA